AGTTTCCATGCACTCACATACACACATTCTAACTCATTTCTTAATCTGGGGAGCTTCAATTTTTCACTCAAATTGCCATTTAAGACAGAATTAGTAGGAAAACAGAAAGGGTAAGTTCCTGGGATCTTTATACAGTTCAAGAGTGTTTTCATTTCCTGCAATAGAGACCTCCATAGACTAGGAAAAGTAGAGGACCCTATGTTGAGGGCTAGTTGCTCTGATAGAAGAATCCTTCCCAGGTGACAGAAAAAGGAGGGGCCCAAAGTCCGGTGACATGGGACATTAAAGAGCTAGGGAGATGTAAAATTAGAACTAGATGGAAAAAATACTCCGGGTGGGGACAGAAATATGAACAAGGTCACCACAAAGAGATAAAAACAAGTCAGGGCCACACACTTTCTGGTGGACTAGTCCAGAGGAGCAGTGTTACTAAGCCCAGTACCAATAATAAGGATGAAGGACCAATGATTGCCAGGCCAAAGGCACACCAGGTGGTGAGGGGTTAGGACACATAAGAGCAAGTAGGTAAATAAGGGGATTTTAGAAGGAGCAAAGTCTTGAAGAGTCCCTTGAAGGAAAAGATCCACAATCCGCTCACAAATGTCTCCAGAACTGTTTGTTTTAGGCTAAGACCAATCTTCCAATAAACACTGAAGAAATGACCCAAAATGACAAGACAGACAAGAGCCCGACATGAACAATGTCTAATAGTCCACACTTAATCTCACACTCTTGTACTCTCAGAACCAGAACACATTTTTTTACACTTTTAACAGGACTGTGAGTGATTTAACACTGCAGGAGTTGATTGGACACTCGCTCTTATTTCAATAGTGTTTCGGGTGATGGGTGTTGACACACATTTCTGGGAGTCCCTGACAGGTCAGTAGGGCTGAAGCTCCTCACTGGTTGGATGGTTCTATTGACACATGCCTCTGAGAACTTCTGACAGGTTAATGGGCCGGCAACCTGGGATCTCTGTCCAAAGTTCCTGTCTCTTTGGCCTTCCCTTGGAGGTTCCTAAGGGCTCTACACAAATTACAACAAATGAATTTAACCAACACTTACATATTTTTACAACAATTCACAACAAATAAGCATAACAAATATACTATCAATAGTTAAATTAATGTCTACAGACACTAGCCAAAAATAGATGTTAAAGTGGCTTACCTCTGGAGGTGGAGTCACAGGTGAATTTAGGAGTGATCATCAGTTGGTCTTCTGAGGGCTCCACTTTCTCTGCAGACCCTGGGATGTTTCCAGGGGGTGCCTCCCCTCAGAGGGATCACAGCCTGCTTCCCTCCTGAAGACCGCTTGAGGATTGGCAGTATACATGCCAACCAGAGTAATGTCAAGCAGCTGCTGTTTTAAAAAAGTAAAGAAGATTGTTTTTTTTTTCTTTAGTTCCAAATGACTAATTGAGCTTGGGTCTTCTGCTGAGAGTTGGTACCTTATCTCAAGGCTATTTGTAACATAGCAACCACAGTTTTTAGTAGGCAAAAAGATAGAAAAACAGTTTTAACCAACTTTGTATGAACTCTTTAATTGCCAGAAAAGAGAGGATCCCAAGTGCAGGTGGGTCATTTACACTACAGTGTCAAGATAAAAATGAGTAAGTACAAAGGGGGCAAGTAAGAAAGATAGAAGCCAGTAAGCACAACACACTGCCAAGCAGACTAAGATTCTAGAGCAACACTGTACAGTAAGTCCAATTTCCACCCAAAAGCCATGTAAAACTGACAGATCAAATACAAAGTAACTGACAAGTTTTATATAATCTCACCAACTTAAGAAGGGGTGATCACAGGAAACAGGGACCTACCAGGGACTCACCCTCTCTGAGTCAAAAGAAAGGAAATCTGACAGACCAGAGACTCTCCTTCTGTGAGTCCAGAGAAGAGTACCTCACAACCCAGTGAGGGGGCCAGCCTTCTTAAAGCTGGTTAATTCACAGGGAGTGTGTAAAGTGGTTTCACTTTCTCATCATTGTCCTTGGTGCGGCAGTTGAAACCAGATAAATTATCCAAACAGATACAAACAGCTAAACAAGTTTGACAAGCAGGCTCTGTCAGACAGACATACAGCTAATATATTCATATCACAAAAGAAAGACAAATCAAGGAAACAGATGAACAAAACAGGAGAGAAGGAAAGAAAAAATCAGTCAGGCATGGAGCCATTTCTGACCCCCACTCTGATGCCTTTCTGTCCATGTTTCCAAAGGGATGAGAACTCTATCTTGGCATAGGTGGAGAGGTACAAACCCCACTCCAGGTCATCCTGAGGGGCCCACCACTGAGCCATATGATAAAGTCGTGGAACCGTGGGTGGAGGCCCACTCAGACTCCATAGCCTCAGGGCCGTGGAATCACATCCAAACTTTTTCACTCACTCACTCATACAAAACACAGAATGTACAAAAGCCATACAAACCAAAACCAGCACAGTCAATTGCAAAAACCAGAACAACCCAATAGAAGACTGCAAATACCAGAACAGAACTAGCCTGCAAATCTGAACAGTCCAAAAGACTGCTAATACCAGAACAGTCTAATAAGGGCTGCAAGCCAGCAGGACAAGGAGAAGTCTTCCCTCTGCCTTGGATTCTTTAACACCTTGAGGACAACACAGAACACCTCAGGGACATGGAGACATCTCTTCCTAGCCCGGGGAACAGACGTCTCAGGCTGCATTCAGCCTAGCTTATTGTTCCCCCTCAGATTCTCTAGAGATCCACAGAAATCCACTGGTTTACTGAATCAAAAAATTTGGGGAGCCTGTGCCTTTAATCCATGCTTTTGAGGGCACCAGGGTGGAGAGTGTCTTTCAGAGGCCTCCCCTAGATCCGTCAGTCAGTGATGTGCTCAGGCGGGGGTCCAATGCATCTCGCTGGGACCTCCAGAAAAATATAGTGACTTGCACAGCTGAGAAGGAGACCCCACTTAAATTAATTTAATTAATAGATATTTATTATATCTGCGCAGACGTTGTTGCCCTTAAGAAGCAAGCAACCCTGAATGACAGATCAAATGGGTCTATATACCCTATTTTTGCATCACAGCAAGCAAGCAAAGGAACAGAGGCTGAATCATTGCAGTTAGCTTTAGATGGGGGAGGGAGGGTGTTACATTAAGGGGGGGTACATAAGATAAGGGAGTATCCAAGAACTCGGGACTTTCCATACTTTCTTATCTTCAAGCCTCTTCTCGGAATTTTCCCTCCCCACCCTTGAGGGGGCTGGGACTAATGGACTTAAAAGAAGTTTCCTTTGCAAGGGTAGGGGGCTTGGTTATCACATTATCTTCTAAACATTAAACCAGGGGTGTCCGGACTTTTTCTTTTTTCTGCCCCTGATTTATACTATTTGTCTTTAGAATGTCTATTCATGTATAGTCTTATGGTAAGCAATTGTTTATTCAGAATTTGTTCAGAAATGGAATATGGTAATATAATCAAACATGCAAATGATGACTTAAAAGTTCACCTATCACACATAAATTTTTAAAACAGTATGTACTAATAAAAATACCCTTAGTCCATAGTCAATAGAGTTTAAACATTTCTTGATGATTGTACATATATTTTGTTGAGTCTCAAGCTGTTGCTGTGGGTAGAGTGCTGTGGTATCATAGCTCAGAGCGATGACAAATTCTTGGGCTCAAGCAATCCTCTTGCCTCAGATTTTTTCTTTTTAGTAGAGACAGGGTCTTGTTTTTGCTCAGGCTGGTCTTGAACTCATGAGCTAAAGCAATCCCCCACTTCAGCCTCCCAGAGTGCTAGGATTACAGGTGTGAGCCACTGCACCCAGCTGATTTTACATATATTATAATATTTTTGCCAGTAACATCATGAATAGATGTGATTTTGGAAAGTTCTCTAAGATTTAATCAGATTTAAGCTGTTTAGATTCTGAGCTGAAGGGGAAGATTTTATTCATGTACAATAGAAAAGCAAACTATTGTTAGTCTATCATGGATTATTATGTTTGCATTGTAATGTTTTAAAGTAAATAAACCATATTCCTTGTGCCAACCCTGTCATTGTCATGTATTGTGTGCTCAATGAGTATCTGTTGAATAGATGAATGAAATCATTGTTGATTAGTTTCTCTAGAAAACTGTATTAACTATAGTAATTGTTAATTTATTGAAAAATCATTTTCTAAAATTTCCTAGTTATAAAGTGTTTTATTTTTTTAAGTTTTGTAAGGTTCAGAAATTTATCATTATAGCTAGAAATGGAATGATAATATTGATTCATCTGCTCTCATATAACTTAAAAACACCTGAAAATAAATGCTACTTCACAGCATATGATGAAACACATGCTTTGGAGCCAAAATTCTTGGGTATGAATGCTGGGTCTGCTACTAACTAGCGGTATGAGCTTGGGCAAGGTACTTGAACTTTCTGTGCCTAGTTTCTTCTTTCATAAAATACCTAACATGTTATTAATGCCTACCTCACAGATTTGTTTGAGGATTAAAATGAGTTTAATAATGTACTACATTTAGAATAATGCATAGTAAGTCCTGATAAAGCTAACTAATACCATCATAACTAATATTCTTAGTTTCCCTCATATAAGGATGTAAGTAATACTTTCCAAGTAGATTTTGGTGCCAGTTAAAGCTTGCTTTTATTGAAAAGGACAATCACACACAGCAAAATCCTGGTATATTTCTACCAAATAATGCAAGCATATGTAATGTTATGTTTTTCCTGTTGCTTTGACAGTAGGAAAGTTTGATCTAAATTTCATTGTTGCATTATTAGTAGTACATTTTCTTTGTCTCTTACTTTTATTTTTTCTGTTTATAGTTCATCCCTCTTCTAGAGATTGATTGTATTATACATTATGTGTAAAAAAAATGTAAACTTTATGAATAAAAGAAATAAATTATAATTACAGAGATTTTATATAAAAACAATAGTTTTAGATATTCATTGTACTTTACATATTTGCTATATGTCTAAAATGATTTTTTTTTTTTTTAGGCCTGCAAAGAAAACATTTAAGCAAAAGAACAAGGTACTGTAAAAAACAAACAAAATATTATTTTTTAAAATATGTTATAAAAGGTAAAGTAGAAAAAATAGACTCTTTTGTTTTAAAGATATTTACTTTGAAGACGTGATCAAGAAGCAGTAGCTGTTGACAAAGATATAAGTTCTTTTAAGAAGTACCTGTACTCATGCTTGTGTAAAAAGATGGTACTTCTGTACGTTCAATATATGCTATAGATATTTACAGTGTTATTTATTTCATAGGTCAAAAAACGAATATATTCTGTGCATGACCTTGATGACTTAAGTCAGTCATCTGAAACATCCTCAGAGGATACTGAGTTGTCTTCCTTTAGTTATGAGAAGCTTATGTTGCAAATTGAACAACTTGGAATGGATTGTGAAGGTAGGACCACTGCATAAATAGAAGGCCTGTTTATATATCCTAGAATAACATCTGCATACTTTACTTAGCATGGTACCGGAGGGCACTGATGTATTATAGCGATGATCATCTCAGAAATATGCTTTATGTTAAAACAGTATGAGAATTAGTACGTGTTGTACTCAGCCAAAGAGCTATCGATAATTCCCCCCAGCTATCTTGATGCGAACGGCACTCCTAGTGTTTTTGTTGACTCTGCTTGTTTCCCATGCCTTTACCCAAGGTCAGGATACCTTTGCCCTCCACTTGGGATATGCAAGTATCCTAGAACTGTTTTCTCTGCTACCCTACCTTTTAAAATAATGGTCTACTCTGCTACCATAATTGTTATGTTTTGAAAAATTGAGATTTGATCATTGTACTCCCTTGCTTAAAATGCATTGAGCTATTATTTCTCAATGCCATAAGTTTAAAGATCTCAGTTCTCTAGTGTCATTCTTCATCATCCATACCTTTCTTTCTTCCTGTGTCCTAGCCACGGCTTATGTGTCTGCTCCTGCAATAAGTAGCTTTAGTGAGGTATAACCAATATATGATAAACTGCACATAAATAAAATGTACATTTTGATATCTTTGGCATAGATCTATCTACACATATGAATCCATCACCATTATTAAGATAATTAACATATCCATCACCCACAACAGTCTCCTCATGCCCTTTTAGGAATCTGCTACGTTGGTTTTCCAAAGTATTTGTACCATCTTGTATTCCCATTCAGAGGTATATGACTGTTCTATGTGCTCTTTATCATCACTAATACTTAGTATTGCCATTTAAACTTTTTTTTTATTTTTAGCCATTCTAATGGGTATGTGTATTGTGTATACCATCTTGGTTTTAATGTGCATCACCCTAATGGCTAATAATGTTGAGTATCTTTCCCATATGTTTATTCGCCATCTGTATATCTTCTTGGGTAAACTGTCTTTTCACATCTTTTATTATTTAAAAAATTAGGTTGTTTTCTTATTGGTTCATTTTAAAAATTCTTTGTATATTCTATATAGTATTCCTTATTAGCTATTTTTTCATGAAGATTATTTCCCAGTTCATGTCTTGAATTTTTGTTCCTTTAATATTATCTTTTGGACAGCAGAAGTTTTTAATTTTGATAAAGTCAAATTTATCCCTTTATTCAGTTATGGATTTTGCTTTTTCTGTTGTATATAAGAAATCCTTACCTATCAGAAGGTAACAAAGATTTCCCCCTATGCTTTCTTCTAGAAATTTTATAGTTTTAGGTCTTACATTTACATCTGTGATCCATTTGGAATTCATTTTTGTGTATGGTAGGAAGTATGGGTTCAAGTGCATGTTCTAGATGGATGTCCAGTTGTTCCAGCACCTTATATTGAAATGGCAATCTTTTCTCCACTGTATTGCCATCATACTTTGTCAAAAATAAGTTAGGTATATGTGCGTGAGTCTGTTTTTGGACTCAGTATTCTATTGATTTACAGATGCTTCTCAAATTACGATGGGATTATGTTCTGATAAACCCATTTTAAGTCTAAATCCATGTAGTACCCCTGAAAACCCACCAGAAAGTCAAAGAAACATAAGATGAGCCATCCTAAATTGGGGACTGTCTGCATTTGGCTTTCTTTTACATAGGTTGAGTGTTACTGATCCCAAATTCCAAAATCTGAAATACCCCCAAATTTGAAACATTTTGTTGCCAACATTTTGTTGCCATGTTACAAGTGGAAAATTCAACATCTGTCACAATGCCTGGCTATTTTGTTTTTTGCAGTTTTCATTGTTTAGCAGGCCCAGGCTGGGTTCAAACCCACCAGCCCTGGAATCTGTGGCCAGCACCCTAACCACTGAGATACAGGCACCAAGCCCCAATCACTATTTTTTTTTACTGTATCCTTAGTGTCTCCCTTTCTAGAATGTCACATACTTGAAATCATACAGTTTGTAGCCTTTTCAGATTTGCTTCATTCAGTTGCTAATACATATTTTAATTACCTTTGTGACCTGAAACAATAAATTTGGACCCACTTAGATACAATTAATTGGTGATTTATTTGCACCTGCACAGGGGCCACTGCTCTGGGAGACAGGAGGCAGTGAAGTGCAGGGCCTACTATCTTTTATACTATTATTTTTTTTCATTTTTTTGCATAGCTTAAGCAAACAGGGGGTACAAAAGTGGAATGTTGTGGTTGGCAGGGTTGCAACTTGGTTGACAATGGATAGATCTTAAATCACAATGGTTATAGTTATGTAACAGTGATTAACACAGCCTTGGTTGACAATGGATATATCTTAAGTCACAATGGTTATAGTTATGCAACACAGTTTAGGTAGATTTCCACCATTGTTCCACTGGGAACTTGGGGGGGCAGTTGTGAAACTTAGGAAACCTGTGCCTCTTGGAATCGACTCTGGGGGGGGCATGGGAATGGTCTGGGAAAGCCCATAGGTAGGGGAACGGGCTGGGAGAGAGGGCAGAGGAATGGGAGAGGGTGGAGGAATGGGAGAGGGCAGGGGAATGGCCTGGGAGTGCTTGCAGCATTCCCCACTGGTCTTCTTGGGGGAATCAAACCCTTGATTCATCTGAGTCATTGGGGAGGGGTTGATAGTGGGTATGTAACACTGTTAGTTTTATGGTTTGGAGCCTGTGTTGTAAGGCTCCACATGTTGTAAGGCATGAGGCAATTGAAGATGATGGGACCACATGTCACTCCAATTAAGAGGAGAAGGAGGGGTTCTGCTATGGCTGACAGAAGGGTTGTGAGCCACAGGGACCAATTAAATAATGTTTCATACCAATTATTATTTTCTCTTTGTTGTTCTTCCTGTTTATGCAGCCCTTTTCTGACTAGAGCCAAGCTGTCTTTTATGACTCCAGAATGGTTAGCATAAAAACAACATGCTTCCCCTAGGGCCATACAAAGTCCTCTTTGTTTCAGAAAGAGTAAATCTAAACCTCTTCTGTTTTGGAGAACTACTTATGCAAGTGAGTTTAGGGACTTTTCTAAGTGAGTAATGAAGGTCTGGAGGTCTGAATCAATTTGAGTGGTGAGTGCTTTAAAACTTGGGCTGAGGGGCCCAGTGGCTAGGGCTGTGGCACTCATGACTGTGGAGTAAGGGGTTAAGCTAGTGGAGTATGTGAACTAAGTTTCTTGGGGTTATTAAGTAACAAGGAAACCCAGCCAGAGGGTGGGAGGAGGGTAAGCTGGGTAACCTGTTTTACAGCTTCAGTTTTTACAGTAATAATTTCCCACTCCTCTATAGGACTATTTGTCTGAAGAAAAGTTTTTATGGCTTTTTTCCTCTGATCTTGTTGGTTGTGTGGGTAGTGAATTATGGCTTTTTCTTTCCGACTTCAATGGCCAAGCCTGGTCTCTGGGTTGGAGGTTGTGTAGCTGCTACAGTAGAATGCAGTTAATTACTCAAGTGGCTATTCAATTCAGTCTCTTTCAGTTCTTTTAGGAGTTCCTGCTAAATTGCAGAGGATTGACAGAGGTTTCTTTGAATAACACTAGTGGCAAGGCTTATATTTAGTTATACTCTTTGGTCAGTCTTTTCCATTTAATTAATTAGTTTAGTACAGATGGGCTATAGCTTTCTTTTTCTTGGACTATTTTCCTCTCTACAATTTCCCTTCTATTAAAGCAGTTGTAAAAATGAACAGTGCCTTCAGTATACTGGGTTTAATTATTTGCATAAAATGCAGTAAGAATAATTAATTATTAGCTATTTAGCCCTCTTTTAAAAAATCGGTTTTGCTGGAATCTTTTGTAATGGACCTCAGTTGGACTTGAAGCTTTTTGCAAGCCCGGGTTTCATCTGTGCCATTAGATACCTGTATGCATTGAGTAAATTCCTCCTCTCTTGAGGTTCCCAAGCACATTCTGATTCCTAGACCTGTCAGGAAGTTACCTTCATTACTTACTACTGATCAGGAAATGTTACTGATGGATATCTGGCCAGTTTTCTAAAGGGCTTTTTATTGGCTTTATGAAGTCAACCTTAATTCTTTAATGCAGTCTGGACATCTCTGGAAATGCTATTCCAGCTAAAGCCTTGGTAAAATAACCAGTGCCTTTATTATGCTCTTATAGAACAAAACAGATTCTTATTGAACTTATGAAAATAACTGTATTGATAGAAACTAAGAATATTTATAAATGGTTTGTAAATTCTGGGGAAATTAAGGAGAGAGAAAAAATACATGTTTAAGTATATACATTGTTTGAAAAGCTATAAATAGTTCAAAAGACAGAAAATTGTTTTCTTGACTTCTGGAAAACAGAACACAGACAGAACAAATAATATTTCAAACAAAAGTCATAACAAACTGGCCCAGTTCCACGTAACTGATTTCTGTTCTGTTTGAAGTTAGGTTAGCAATATTCATGTTAACTTTTCAATCAAAGTTCTAAAAATCTGCTTTTTAAAGACATCTGGAATTTGAATTTGAGAGAATTCATCAGTCTCTCTTAATATTTCTTTTTTCTCTTTTCCTCTTTTTTTTAGGATAAACTTTGAATTCAGCAAGTTACATAAAAAACATTTTTTAGATGAATTAAAATTATTACTGACAATACACATTAGGATAGACCAATGCTTTACAATATTGAAACATATATATAATCATAACCTGTACCAAATTAATTACCATTTCATATTTGACAATGTTTCCTATACACTTTTAATGAATTAAGTAAGTTTAATTTGGTTTTTTTTTTCAAGTTTAAAAGACCAGATTTAGAGTTGTGTTTTTGTTGTTTAGTTCGTTCAGGCTGAGTTTTAATGCAACAATAGTGCTACAGGTGCAGAGCTCTAAATTTAGAGTTTTTACTTTGGAAGTTTTGGCAAATATTAAAGGTTTAAAACATTTGTTCAAACAAGATTGCAAGTCAAAATATTTTGAAGGAAATACATAGTTAACTGGATTACATGTAAACTTCTTTACAAAGTCTCCCTTATGAGCTTTATTTAACTTGCACAGATAATTAATAAACATTTTAAATCTTCTTTAACTTTTGCCCTGCCTTTCACTTTTTGAAATAACTGTTCTGTTTTAGGACAAATTTATCAATTTATCGATGTTCTTTCCTTACATAATGTCATTTTTCTTTCTGTCTAATTTCTCTTACTCCCTAAAATTTGCTTTTCACACAATAGGATTACAGTTAACCATTTACTTGCTAAACTGATAATTAGAAGGTTTTAAAAGGCAAGAATTTTTCTCTTGATAAAGACTCAGTTTTTCTAACAATTTAAATAATCAAATTATTACATTATGAAAATAAGAGACATTTGTGAAATATAACATTGATACAGGATCTTTCCAATCAGGGCTAGACAGGGAATTCTTATTTTTCAGGCTCAGATAAGCTCAGAAATCAGTCTTCTATTGTTAGGCACAAATACATTGCAGGTCATACCCTTTGAGCCTTACTAAGGTTATGAACAAAGCAGTTCCAAACATTTCTGAAGGCTCCACTCTGAGTAGAAAGTAGGTACTCTAATTTTTTCCCAAAGAAAAACTGCAAAGATTTAATAACCTTGCCTAAGGTTCGGGGCTATATTTATTTATTTGTTAGAATACCCATTCAATCTGTAAAGGTATATTTCTATTTATCCAGTTCTGGAAATTTTTGAAGGAGGCAGGACAGGGTGACCCTGCCTAGACTGGAGATTTTTGTTTCATTCTTATACTATTCTGCCCAAATGTCAGAACAAGGAATAGCCGTGGTCCAGGTATTGTTTAAGGAAGAGAATCAGGGCTGTTTGGGCTGGGGGCCACAACAAGGAAGCAATAGCTAAATCCTACAAAGTACCCACTTGCCACCTGGGAGCTGTGTCCCAAGTGCAAGGTAAGTGGTGGGGTCAAGGTAGATAGACTGGCTGAGGATGGTCTCAAGAGGGAAGATAGAGGCAGTGAGGTGGGAAAGCCAGTTGTCTATGAAAAGGAGTGGGCAAGTTTTCATAGGTAGTGAAAAGAATCAAAACTCCTCTTACTGTGTCTGAATTTTTAGCCAGTTGTCGCTGCTGTTGCCAGTGGCAACCCTGTTGCCTGCATAAGTGAGAATGAAGGCTTAACAGGAAATGTGATTGGATGATAAAATAAATGTACTAACAAGTAAATAGGGTGGGAATTTTGGACCCACCAGGGGATAGTATTATTATAAAAATCTACCCAATTACTTTCTCTTGACTGATGGCAAGCAAGAGAAATAAGAGTACCACAATCAGGCAAATGTTAATCATGAGAATTCTGAAAGGAAAGACAATCTGAGTAACAACACTTGATAGTGGGAGAATGGAAAAGACAAGTCGTGGGGTCTTTATATGGTCCAAGAGTGTTTTTATTTCTTTTAATAGAAATCTCCTTAGACTAGGAAAAGGAGAAGACTTCACGTTGAGGATTAGTAGCTTTGATAGAAGAATCCTTCCCAGGAGACAGAAAAAGGAGGGGCTTAAAATTCTGGTGATGATGGGGCAATCAAAGAGTTAGGGAGATGCAGAAGGATTAGAACTAGGTGGGGACAGAAGTATGAACAAGGTCACATGTTCCCTGGTGGATCAGTCTTGGAGGACAGTGCTACCAAGCCTAATACCAATAACAAGGATGAAGAGACCAATGACTGCCAGGCCAAAGATGCACCAGACAGTGACCAGTGTAGGACACATAAGAGCAAGTAGGTAAATAAGACAGTTTCAGAAGGAGTAAAATCTTGAAGGGTCCCTTGAAAGAAAAGATCTGCAATCCACTCACAAATGTTTATAAGACTGTTTGTTTCAGGCCGAGACCAATCTTTCACTAAACACTGAACAAAGAACACAAAAAGACAAGACAGACATGGGTCCGATATAAACGATGTTTAATAATCTACACTTACTTTCTACTCCTGTACTCTCAAATTCAGTACCAGAACACACTTTTAAATACTTTTTAACAGGCCTGTGGGTGATCTAACATACCCCCAGGGGTTGATTGGACCACCGTTTTCATTTTAATGGCATTTGTGGTGATGGGTGTTAACACACATTTCTGGAAGTCCCTGACAGGCCAGTAAGGCTGAGGCTCCCCACTGGTTGGGTTGTTCTACCAACACATGCTTGCACACATCTCCGAGAGCCTCTGATAGGCCAATAGCCTGGCAACCCGGGATCTCTGTTGAAAGTTTCTGTCTCTTTGGCCTTCTCTTGGAGGTTCTTAAGGGCTTTATACAAATTATAAAAAATTAATTTAATAAACAGTTACATATTTTCACAATTCACAATAAATAAGTATAACAAAATAATGTTAATAGTTACATTAGCATCTGCAGACACTAGCTAAAAATAGATGTTAAAGTGGCTTAACTCTGGAGGTGGACTTACAGGTGAATTTAGGGGTGATCATTAGCCAGTCTCTGGAGGGCTTCAAGTTCTTCAGGGACCCTGTGGTCCCCCTCAGAGGGACCACAACCTGCCCCTCTCCTGGAGGCTACCTAAGGATTGGCCAAATGCATGCCACAGAATAATGTTAAGCGGCTGTTGTTTTAAATTTTAAATGGGTAGTTGACCTTGGGTTTTCGGGTACCAGTACTTTATCTTAAAATTATCTGTAACATAACTATTGTAATTTTAGTAGCCAAAAAGGGAACAGTTTTAATAAACTTTGTAGTAACTCTTTAATTGCCAGAAAGAAACAAAATCCTAAAGCTCACTGGACTGTTCAAACTGCAGTATTTTTCATGGCACAGCTTCTACTTTTTACTCTCCCTGCATGATTTGTGGCTTGCAGGCTTAATTTAATATCTCTGCCAAGTAGGTGCCTGCTTGCAAGGTTGAAAATCTTGAATTTCTAATTTCTCTTTGTTACCTCAAGACCAAGGGTGAGGCTAGTCTGTCTTGGAAGCTGGTTAGTTTTATTTACAGAAAATGTGTAAAGTAGCCAGTTTTATTTTTTTACTGTTGCTCTTGGTGCGGTGGCTGAAATTAAAAAGTTACTGAAAGAGCATTTTCAAAAATTACGCTGTCTTATTTTGAACAAATTATTAGGCAGATACTAATAAATGGACAAAAAAACTACAATACAAACATCATAAAAAACAGATAGACCTATAAGGCAAAAAAAATGACAAGTGGACAGGACAGAAAACACAAACAAAATTCAGGGCCATGAAATCACATCTAAACTCACTCACTCACTCATACAGATCATACAGAAACACAGAACATGTAAAAACTTAAAATACTTTAAACTAAAAGCAGCTCTGAACTTTAAGACTTGCATGCTCTAACCTTTAGTTACCAGAGTTACTAAAATTACCAGTGAGACAGGGAGACATCTCTCCCCTTACTCAGGAACAGGCATCCCAGGCTGCATCCAGCCTAGCCTATTGTTCCCCCAGATTCTCTAGAGACCAGAACAGAACAGAACAAACTTATTGAATTGGAAAATTTGGGAACCTATGCCCAGAATCCATGTGTCTGAGGGCCCCTGGGGTGGAGAGAACATTTCTCCTTCCCCTGTAGCCGGGGGGGGCAGTGCAAGATCACTAATGTGATCTTGCTAGGGCCTCCAGATTTAATAACCTTCACAACCTGAAAAGATAAACTTGTACCCACTTAGATGCAATTAATTCGTGATTTATTTGCACCTGCGCCGGGACCGCTGCTCTGAGAGACATGTGGCGGCAAAGTGCAGGGCCTGCTGTCTTTTATACTATTTTTTTTTTCATTTTTTTTTTTTTTTTTTTGTGTAGCTTGAGCAAGCAGGGGGTACAAAAGAAGAATGTTGTGGTTGGCAGGGTTACAGCTTGATTGACAATGGATACATCTTAAATCACAATGGTTATAGTTATGTAACAGTGATTAACACAGTCTTGGTTGACAATGGATATATCTTAAGTCACAACAGTTATAGTTATGTAACACAGCTTAGGTAGGTTTCCACCATTGCTTTCCTGGGAACTTGGGGGTTTTTTGTGAAACTTGGGACTTCCGTGCCTCTTGGAATCGACTCTGGGGGAGGGCATGGGAATGGGCTGGGAGAGAGGGCAAGGGAATGGGAGAGGGTGGGGGAATGGGCTGGGAGTGCCTGCAGCAATATTTAAGGTTCCTTCATGTCTTTTCATGGCTCAGTAGTTCATTTCTTTTAAGTGGTGAGTAATATTTCATTGCATGGCTGTACCACAGTTGGTTCATTCACCTAGAGGATCCCTTGGTTACTTGAAAGCTTGGCTGAATTTTTACATCCACGGTCATGAAGAATTTTTTTTTATAGTATCATTGTATAATTTTGGTTAATGTAATGCTAACATTAAAGAATGAGTTAACATGTATACTTCATATTTAGTTTGGGGGAAGAGTTTTTATAGGATCGTACTATTTCCTTTTTAAATGTTTGGTAGAATTCACCAGCATAGTTATCTGGGCCTGGAGTTTACTTTGTAGGAAGTTTTTCAACTATGATTTTTTTAATAGATTCAGGTAATCTATTTCTTCTTGACTGATCTTTGGTAATTTTCATTTTTCAAGGAATTCATTTATTTTCTGTAAGTTATCAACTTTATTCACATAAAGTTCATACACGTTACCTTGTTATTTCAATATCTGTAGAATCTGTACTAATGTCATATTACTCATTTCTGAAATTAGTCCTTTGTATTTTCTCCTCTTCCTGATCATTTTGGCTAAAGATCTATCATTTTTATTGATTTTCTCAAAGTGTTTGGTTTTATTGACTTTTGTTTCTCTTTTTATTGGTTTCATCTTTCATACTTTGGTCTGTTCAGCCCACTGGAATAAAATACCAAAGACCAAGTAGCTTATATTGAAGAGAAATAGATTTCTCACAGTTCTGCAGATACAAAGTCCAAGATCAAGGCACTAGCAGATTTAATATCTGGTGATGGATCACTTCCTGGTTAGTAGAGGCCATCTTTTTCTCTGTGTCTTCACATGGCAGAACAATGAATAAACTTTCTGGGGTCTTTTGTGTAAGGATGCTAATCCCATTTATGAAGGTGTGGCTCTCATGACTTAATTACTGTTGAAAAGCCCCACCTCCTAATTACCATCATTTTTGCATTAGCTCTCAACATAAGAATTTGGGAGGGAGACACAGACATTAAAATTATAGCAGATATTTATTATTTCCCTTCCTCTGTTTGCTTTGGGTTTAATTTGCTCTTTTTTTTTTTTTTTGAGACAGAGCCTCAAGCTATCCCCCTGGGTAGAGTGCCATGGCATCACGCTCACAGCAACCTCCAACTCCTGGGCTCAAGCGAGTCTCCTGCCTCAGCCTCCCAAGTAGCTGGGACTACAGGCGCCCACCACAACACCTGGCCATTTTTTGGTTGCAGCCATCATTGTTGTTTGGCGGGCTGGGGCTGGGGATTCGAACCCTCCCCCTTAGGTGTATGTGGCTGGCGCTTTAGCCGCTTGAGCCACAGGCGCTGAGCCATTTTTTTCTATTCTTAAAGTAGATATCAAGGTCATTGATTTGAGACTCTTCTAATATAGACATTCAATACTGAAGTTTTTTACTGAAGTACTATTTATTTAAGTAGCTGCATCCCACAAATTCTGATGTGTTGTATTTTCAGTTTTTTATTAGTTCAAAACATTTTTTCCTTTCTCTTTGCATTATTTCTTTAATCCAGGATTGTGCCAGTATGTGTTACTTAGTTTCCAAGTAATTATTTTCAGAGATATTTTTGTCCTTGATTTAAATTTAATTGCTTTGTGGTCAGGGAATGTACTTTTTTTTCTTTTTTTTTTTTATTGTTTTGTTTTAGTTTGTTTTTGAGACAGAGTCACACTATGTCACCCTTGGTAGAGTGCTGTGGCATCACAGCTCAGAGCAATCTCAAACTCTTGGGCTTAAGCAATTCTCTTGCCTCAGTCTCCCAAGTACCTAAGCTACAGGCACCGACCACAACGCCTGGCTATTTTTTTTGTTATAGTTGTCATTATTGTTTGGTAGGCCCAGGTCAGGTTCAAACCTGCCAGCCCCAGTGTATATGGCCGGTCCCCTAACCACTGAGCTATGGGCACCAAGCCACAGAACATATTTTGTACAACTTAAAACTTTTGACTTATTCCTTTAAGTGAGATATTTTGTAAATCTAGAAGAGGGTTTAATTTGGTAAGTGTTCCATGAGTTCTTGACAAGAACGTTGTTGTTCAAGTCTATTCCATCTGTACTGATTTTCTGCCTTCTTGTTCTATCACTTATTGAATAGTAAGTGATATTGAAATTTCAGACTATACCTTTTAATTTATCTTTTTTCTTTTTGCAGTTCTATCAGTTTTTACCTCATATAATTTGAAGCTGTTGTGTTTGTTATTAGGTTCATAAACATTTAGGTCAGTTATGTCTTCTTGATTAATCAAACCTTTCTCATTATGAAATGGCCTTATCTATTGCTGATAATATTTTTGGCTATGAAATTGACTTTGGTATTAATATAGTTACTCTTACTCAGCCTTTTTTGTACAGGAATCAGCATGGCATATCTTTTTTCATCCATTTAGCTAATTATGTCTTTACTCTAAAGTACATTTCTTATAGGTAACATGAGATTGATTCTTGCTTTCTTAAATACAGTGTGACAATCTGCCTTTTGATTGATGTTTTTAGACCAGCTTTACTTATAATGTGATTATCAATATAGTTTGGATTACCTCTCATCATGCTTTTTGA